GTTTCTGTCCACAAAGATAAACAAAATTGGACCTACATGTTGAATTTTTTTGAAATCATACCTTATTTTCATGCCAATTTTTACCCTGTACACACCCATAAGATTCAATATGAATTTTATTCGCTATGTAGACAGACTCTTAGTTATAACTAACAACATCATAAAATATATGTACAAGCATAAGAGTATTCAAACAACCAACCGATAAATACATTGCTAAATCTAAAAAGTACCTAATAGAATTTAAAATACCAGTATTGCAAAATTTGCTTCTATGCTGAAATGGCTTACACAAATCAATGAAAATTCACTTAACAACAAAATCTACGCGTGTATTCAATACACTCATTATAAACGTACAATTTATTTCAATATTATTCACTCGATTCCGTCAAGCTAACGATCATTGATACGTCTATCATTAAAGAACTTAATTTCATTTCGAAGTTACTTGTTACATTGTTCTTAAACGAAAATACTGCCGCAGGAACCAATCTTATTGAGAAAACTTCATAGACTTATTAAAATCTCAATATCTTAATAACCTCTTTAAGCGAAAGTTTTAGATAAATAGAGCTTGCTGTATGTTTTACACATTGTTTGAAAATAAAATTAGAATACGGTAGGTAGGTATGTTTCGCACGGAGCGATCATGATAAGACCATATTTACTTTCGTTTCGTTTTAAATTAAATAACTCATTCATCTTTAATCTGTCAGAATCTTTACTTTTACTAGCTTGTTAATCATATAACCATTAGAAATTTCCGTGTAACGTTGATTACTTGAAAGTGTGTGCAAGTTTTTAGTCATATCGTCCCATCCCAGAGGCAAAATGGATCTCCCTGAGAGATGTGAGAAACACCTCCTTTTTAAACTACAATTATGGTAATTACTGGTTCTTTTTCTCAGCATTTAGCTTGTCACTTAAGCGTACCTACTTTCTTCGGAGATCTTGGACATTAAAAACTGTAGATACCATAAGTCTCTGCTAAAATAAAGATTTTTTTAAAACATTACCTATCATTTTTGTCCTCACACTTTTAAGGATAACTAACTTTATTTATCATTTAAGAAAAAAAATTGTTTGAGTTTAAATTACGACAATTTACCTACTGCAACAAGAGCATAAGTTGCATTACATCAAGATCGCCAGCAATGAACATAATATTTATCCTATTATTTAATCAATCATTCTAATATGAACAGCAAAAAATTACAGGTCATAGAAGATCAAACGGCACTTATTTTGATTAATCCATAGTTAAATGCTCCTCATCTTACTGATACGATCTTGGTTCTGATGTCAGAGTGCACCTAATTATATGACCTATCACGTCTCGAAGATTATTTTATCTTCACCATTTCCCTTTCCTGACCTTTCTTGTAATGAGGATACTGCTTTAGATCTGACATCGGGAAGAATGTTGAAAGTAAAAACAATGCTATCTGAAGATGGTCTAGACTTTAAGGTTGTAGGGTCAGAAAGTTATGAATGTTATCTTTGAAGAATTAAATTGTTTAGCTTTGTCATGTCTTCTTGCTGCGTTTTCTTTTCATGAATTTTCTCCGTTTTATCTTGTAATGTCTTAAAGGTACTTATTATTTATTTATCGAATTACGTTGTATATGCAATGATATGTTGAATAATGATATGTGCAATGTATGTTGTTATGTTAGATAAACATATGTAAGAAAAAAGGTTGACAGATATTTTGACATAGAATTATGAAAAATGTACAGTAATTATCTTTCAATCAATAACGACAACAAATATTGAATGAATACTAATTCGAATTAAATTGAATATTCTGGTACATGGTACTTGGCATACCTCAAGGTATTATCTTAGGGCCATAAATAACTATAATACGTTTACCGTTAGAACAGTGGACGGATCCAATAATTGTATATTGTTGAGGTCAGTTTAACCTGCACCACGCGTTTTATGGGTTACCAGTAGAAAGTACAGAGTTATTTACTTACAATGTTTGAAAAGTTCTAAACAAACATGTTTCGATAGCTATTGCAAGTTATTTGTTTTGGTGTGTTTATGATGAGATCATATATATATATATATATATATATATATATATATATTAATTTAACAACTATTTTTGTAAGAAGTCTTACAATATCTTTATTCTGAAATGATTTACACTTATTAATGTCAAATTGACTTTTAGGTCGCTTGTCACTTGTCATGAGTGGGGTTAAGCCTATAATTTCCCAATTATTTAACGTACCTTGTCACCCGATTATGGGACCGTCTATAGCATTAAGCAATGCCAAAAATGTTAGCAACACCATATTAGAACGCCACCTAACTGGCCAACGGGCGCATGTCGCTGCGATTTGTCGTGTAAATCCGCAAATTGGTGTGAAACTGTCGTGGAAAATTGCGACTTTCCAATCGTGGCCGTGTCAGTCGCCCTTGGTGACGTACGGTAGAAACAATCGATCGTTCGGAGAAAGTATTTAGGCTATTTTGTATTGGCTATATAAACCATGACTTCATGATAAAAACTAAACCCATTTGTTGATCCTATTATTTTCTATTTCCATTTTAGGTTGAGAAGAACGACTGTTGAATATATTCGTTTGAATTAAAAAAAAATTAACTTGTGCTTCAGCCTTTCTTAATAGTCTAACGGTTAGACTTAGTTTCACAGGTTAACGTGACAAAATTGTTAACTGGAGAGCAGAGTTGTGCAATAATGGGTAGCATGTGGTAAAAAATGTTATGCAAGTGATGTTGAACATAGGATAAACAACCATCTATTCGACACCAAAGCATCTAACAATCTCTAGGGCCACAAGGGCCTCTTTAAGCGACAATGTTTCTTTTTCTCCACACTTAAGGTGGCGATAATCGACTACAGCGCCACTCAAAAAATTTTCACTTTCGATTTTTTAATATGAATCTTGTTTGCTCAAAATGTCGTGTTTGTTTTGAAAGTATTTCAAACAAAAATATGTTTTAAGAAACGTTTAGTTCATGAGAAGATGAGAAAGTGATGTCCAGGTGCGTTGTTAGCTTTGTTTGGTGGATGTCAATATGAGTTTGTGTGACATTGTGAGCTAATGTTTATCATAATTATGAGGATGGAATATTTATGATCACTATTCTAGAGTATATTTATAGCTTTTTTATGTAATATGTATCGGCAAACGAGCAGATGAATTACCTGGTAAGCAATCACCGCCGCCCATGGACACCCGCAACGGAGGCGTTACGAGTGCGTTGCCAACCTTTTAGAGATTAGGGATTTCTAGATTTAGGGTTTGGGGTAGGGAAAGGATTAGGCCTCCGGTAACCTCACTCACACCGCGAAACACAACGCTGTGGTTGTTTCACGCCGATTTTCTGTGGTGTCATTCCGGCCATTCTTGCCGAAGCATGGCTCTCTCACACGTTAGCATGATGGACATGGAACAGCATGATATGTTGCGATTAAATGTAAAGATATTTGCAAAGTAAGAAGCTACATACTGAACCAATTAAAGCATTCTTTGAAAGCAAAAGAACAGTAGATTGATGGTGAAGCGCAAAAAATGATGCGTAGTCTATTACTACATTTCATTCAAATTAAAATTCGCTGCACAGACACACGTATTGAAATTGGCGAGTAAAATAATTACTGTTATTCGACCAATTTCACGGCTGCCACAAATATTATAAACAAATATGGTAGCTTCGGCTTCGTTTGCGGAGCATAAGTGTAATTAAAACCTTTCACAAGCATGTTTAGGTAAAACCTTCCGTGTTACTTGTTACATAAGATTTAAATCGGTGATTGTGAATTTGTTATTTGTGCGTAACTTTACATGTGCGTATGATTTGATCGTCTTGGTAACGCGCAAAAAATTGAAGGCTATTCTGATATTTTTCAAGATCTTGCTTCTGATACGAGACATATGTGAAAACTGAGAGAAAACCCCTGGAGGTGTTGTCAAGGACACCTGGAGCCGGAAAACGAACAGATCTTAAGTCAGTTAAGGTCCACCATCAAGGTCTTAAGTCAGTTAAAGTCTGAGACCCCCTATCTTAGGAAAGTCATTTGATGATTTTTCAACATAAAAAGCTCAGTACTGTAGCTATAATATGTTTGTGCAGAAATTCCATTTGTTAGGTGAATACTACGTTGCTGTCTACATTTTGCCTTTGATTTTCACTTTTGTGAAAAAGTATTGTACCGGCGGCGGCGCTTTGGTTTATAACTTTTTAACCATGTGTGGTATTGAGTGATACACAATTGTATGATAGAATTGATCGATTGTTAAAAATGTGATATGATCCGCTCTTACCATTGCAACTACTAAAATAGTTTCTACTTGCAATTTTGAAGACACATTTTCAGCCTGATTCCGTCCACAGCCGGACATAGGCCTCCCCAATTGACAAGACACATTTTACGGCACAAATATAAAGTTCTCGTGTGAAACACGTCCATTTTAATTCACTTTCGTTAATGTAGGTAGTTTCTTTATAATAATAATTGTAACATGTTATGTAATTAGTCTTAAACAGATTGAACGTGTATCGAATTGATATTATCTGCTTCCTTTCGTATTTAGTGGATAATCGTGACAAGTATGATCGTCCGGTGAAAGCCTAATTGTTTGATTACACTTTTTAAATTCCCTCTTGTATCCTGTTTCGCTGTTATTGATGAGATGTTATCTTGTTCATGGTATTTTACCATCGATGCTGCTTGAGGGTTGATAAAGAACCTCTGTGCTTAGAGCCAAACGGAATTCGGTTCACAGTACTGGATCTACATACGTGTATTCATAATTAAGTTGCGTCTCTTTTGAATTACGGATAAGGTGAAAAAAGGTTGCGATATTTTTTTTAAGACCACTGAATTTACTATTGTTTTTTTATTGATTAAAAACAAAATAGTACGTTTTTTAAATAGCTTAAATGTGTGATAGGACGAAAAAAACATTCTTATTTCAACTGAATCGCTTCTAATAATATATTTTTTTAAATTTCAGGATCGACCGGCAAAGATCAACGCGACGAAACAGGACAGAACCGCCAACCAAAATGTGACCACCGAACGAGTAACCAAAACCACAAAAACCATACAAATTCATGAATCCTGCAAGATAACATGATTCAAAACAATATTTATTGTAATTAACTATAGATAACGAATCTAGTCGCCATAGCACTATTTAAACGAAGCAATTTAGACTTTATTTTACTAGAAGATACGGTTGAAGATCGTATTCAAGTACAAAGAATAAGGAATTGAGGAGACAGTACAAACGACTCGTGGGGACCCTAATGTTGATTTAGGAGTAAATTGATTTGATTAGAAGTTCCCTGAGATAACACGAACAAGATGTCTACAAGTAAGTATTCAGATTATATATAGATACAAATTAAGTTTTCTTTATGGTACAGGTCGGTAAACGCGTAAGCGGATTACCTGATTTTTTTTTTTTTTTTGTGAGGGGAAAATCATCAAATGACTTCTCCCGCCCAGGGCCGGGCAGGAGGGAGTGTCAGACTCTTACTGACTAAAAACCCCCCTGTTCCTTCTCCTGTTCTGTGCCGAGGTCGCGGTACCTCATTGCGCTTACCCCGCAACCCCGGCTGAAGTGGATTACCTGATGGTAAGCAATCAGCGCCACCCATGGACACCCGTAACACCAAAGGAGTAACGAGTGCGTTGTCGGCCTTTAAGGGATAAGGGTTTTGGATATTTAAGGATTGGGAAGGGTAGATAATATTGAGTAACCTGGAAATCGTCCAGCTGTGTAGTCTAATGAAACAGTCAAAGGCTTGTATTCATATTTTATGCGTAATACGCGTATTTATATGGCTTTGCAGCTTAGTGTGTGGCTAAGTATAATCTCCAATAATATTTGACACACATGGGTTTATGAAATCGAGGATCGAGAGATGATATCCAGCCACCGTACCAGAACCAGACCCGAGCGTACGGCGCGTAGCGTTCCGCGCGCGCCACAAAGAGTCAATAGACAGCCACAGGTAGGGCCCTATAGGGCTGATGTTCAGCCGGGGTTGCGGGATAAGCGCAATGAGGCATCGCGACTTCGGCCCAGTGTAGGAGAAGGAACAGGGGGGTTTTTAGTCAGTAAGAGTCTGACACTTCTCCCGCCCGACCCTGAGCGGGAGAAGTCATTTGATGATTCTCCTCTCAAAAAAAATAGGTTTACGAAATGGAGTTAATAATGGGCTGGTTTTTAATTACTATCTCGCCTGGTAGTAAGCGATAATGTGTATTTGAGTATGTAACAACTGTATCTATAACTGTTTCTGGGTTAGTGGTATTTACTTGTATTGTTTTATTACTTCTCGGGTTCGCTTCCCGGGTAGGTGAAGTATCACTATTTTCGAATTGAAATTTCCACTTGTGCGGTTTTATCTCATTGGTTTTCTAGAAATATTTTTTGAATTTGTGCGTCATTTCTATCCTAACATTAGAAATTATTTTGATTCCAGGTTTTGAACACTCTTCAATGAAGAGTAGCTTCTCGTTGTCATCTTTGAGGAGCGCGCCCGCGCCGCCTGGTGGCCGCTGTGATCAACTCGAGCGGCCGTATCATAGTCTTACGAAAAAGAGGTACTTATAATAACATTGTTTTTTGGTTCTATTTTGCTATATACTTTATTTTGGGTTTGAATAACCTTTGTTAGAACTTTCCATTGTAGTACAAAATCAAACTACTTAACTGGATAATCTATATCTATATTTAGGTATATTATAAAGAGGTAAATTTTGTAAGTTTGTATATAGGGGGTAATCTTTGGAACCGCTGGTTGAATTGCCATAATTATTTCACTGATAGATAGCTACGTTCCTGAGAGCTATAGGCTATAAAACATCACGCTACGATCAAAGCGATCGGAGTTGAGCAGCGAGTGAAACCGCGCGAGAGTAGCTAGTCTTTTATAAATAGAAATCGATATAAGTAGGTACCTACCTAATAATTATAGTTTCAAATAGAAGTCTTACAGACTAACTGAACTAACTTTAAATGTACAACAATATGATAATAAACCTCGTATAATGCAGAAACTAACATTTATAAAGACTAAACTAGCAAGAACTGTGCAATTTTTATTAGGTACTTAGGTACATTAAATTTATTGAATTCGTTAGATTACAATGAGTTGTGGGCATATCCAACAACAACATTCCGAAAGACGAATCAATATAATTGAAGTCGCCATTTTGTTTCAAACAGCTTCCGAAGCCAAGTATTCAATAGCAACCACAATAAAAAGCTATTTTATAGTCTGGTGCGCAAGCGCAGCAAAGCTCGTTGTCTGCGCATGAACTAACAAGAATTAATTACTATGTCTACTCACTCGGTGTATACTGGATTTATTTTCACATTTATTTTTATACGGCCATGAACGTAGTAAGTTTGTCATTGAACTCTACACCACTATACCTTCAGCCGGGGTCGCGAGCGAGTCTGGTGCGCAAGCGCAATCATTTAGAAGAAGGAGAAGGAACATGGTGGTTTTTGGTCAGTATTAAGAGCCTGACATTCCATCCCGCCCCTTACAGTGCTGGAGGAGTTATTTAGTAATTTCCCCCTCAAAAAATATATAGGTACCTTATATTTAAATTTTATTTTGCTTACCTAGAGGAAGAGAGAAGTTGCGGGCAAGAGCAAGTGCGGTGCTGTTCTTTTGATCGTTAGGGATTTAGAGACTGGAGATAGAGCAGGAGGATTGGGCTTCCGGTAACCCTGCTAACACAGCCAAATACAACGCAACTGTTGTTTCACGCCAGTTTTCGGTGATGCAGTGGTATCACTCCGTTCGAACTGGCCCATTCGTGCCAAAACATGGTACTCCAAAACTTTCCATATAGTTAGTAATACTTATATGAAAAATCTGGTGAGAGACTGGTTTGAAGTTCGTTATTCGAGTGTCGTGTCAACGATTGCCCGTCGCTTATTGAATTTCTCATTTTCAAGTGTCTTGCACATGGTATACCCGGTGTCTAATGTAGGTAAATAGAATGCATTTTTTCTACTGAAAATCTCTTCAGAAATAGAAAAATGCAACTTAAATGTGAGTTATTTTTTAACCGCTCTGCTGTGTACAACAAAGAAACTGAACAGATTTCGCTGATTCTTTATTTTTGTGTATATTACTGTTGGAAAAGGGTTCTTATGGCTTTGGAAAAGTATAGGGAGAAATCGGGAAACTGCGACATCCTTTCGCAGTTCGTCATTAGCGATTTAGTTGTGCATCCATGCGAAACAAGGCTTTTTTTATTAACCATCCAGAATTTGCTGTTCTTAGTTGCTATTTCCTCTTGATACTATCAACAAAACAACCCAGAACTATTTATTTTGCTTAACTCTTTCAAATAAATTGAAATTGACTTCATAATACCTGACTCTTTTTAATAATTTTATTCACCCTTTTGAAAAATCGCCTTAGGTGGTGGCACTCATTGTAATTACAAATGCCTTTTTATTGTATTTCTGTCTCATTGTTTTGTATTTAGAATAATAATAATATTTTGTATTTAGAATAATAATAATAGTTTTGTGTTCGTTTCCAGGAAGGAGCCATGTCGCGAGGCTTGGCGCCGCAGTTGGGGGTCTGCAGCGAGTGGCGGCAGCGCCGTCGACGACCTGTGGCCGCTGCTGCAGCATCACTACGACTACATCATGGACAACCAGATCATTGATAGTTGCAAGGTAAGCACGGATCAAGCAAGCCAAGAATGCTGAGCGGATAGTAGTTGGAGGCCCAGATATATCATGATGAGTTTTTCATCCACAGTGGGCCATAGACCTGTGGCATTAAGTCCGTCTAAAAATTGCTGCACCAACGCGAACGAGTAGAGTTCGCTATATTTTTTAGGTACTCAACGAAAACAAGTTGAAAATTGTTTCCAACTAATTATTAATTTATCTAAAATAATAATTTTATGTAACCTCCTTTAATTTCCTTTCCAGGAAGCGAATGGCGAGCTCTTATCCCGTAACCCACTGCACTGCCCGCGTCTCCTGAACCCGACATCTGGCTTCAACCGCCAGTGGTCGCTGAGTCAGCTAATCGCGGAGTTCAATGAACTGTGCCAGTGGCTCAGTCACGTGCAGGAGGAGATATATTCTAGTCCCGAGAACTTGTCCAGCAGGAAACTGAGGATAGTAAGTGTGGCTTTCTTTCTTTTTCGTTTCATATCACTCTACGGTTCTTTCAAATAGAGTATATCAACCAATTAAACAAAATCTGGGGGTGATATTGATCAAGGAAGCGGATCAAGCTCAATAAGGTACCGCGGCCTCGGACTGGGCCTGGACCAGGAAACAAAACGGAAAGGTTTTTGGTCAGTCTGACACTTCCTCTCACCATACCCTGGGCGAGAGAAGTATTATAATGATTATCACTCCTCAAAAAAGGAATTATATTGATTCCATTTTGTAGCGAAATTCTTTGAGTGGCAGTCGTTTTTTGAAATCAGCTTAACTACAGTATTGATGGACTGGCTATTTGAGCTGATTTTCTCGAATATATATGTATTGTTCAGAGTTGTACTGTCTTAACTATCCTATACCCCATCAACTGATAGTTCTGCTTACTAATCTGAGTTGTTAAAATATTTTAGTAAATTTTATTTAAGTATTAATATATTTAATCATTGTCCGTTTTTATGTAGCTTTCGCCCGCGGCTTCGCACGCGTATAAAAAAATAATGTATCCAAAAATAATGTAATAAGTATCCCGGGATTTAAAAAACTGACTAAAATACGCAAATGAAAAAAAAAATCTATTCTTGGCATTCATGCCTTTTGCCATAAACATTTTTCATTTCATTTCAAATGCGACCACCGGTTCCAATGTTCCCTACACCCACACACTTACAAATTCTACCTCTATATAATATTAGTATAGGTGTACTCGCATTCTAAAAAATAATTTGTTATTTACAGAATCGTATGACGGAGCTGGTGTCAGTGGAGCCGCGCCGCGCCAAGTTCATCGAGCAGGGCACCGCTATACTCGAACGTATACCGGAGGCCAGTGCTGAAGTAAGGGCATACAATACATTTTCAACAATTACCTATAGATTGCCTAAAGTTTTGGTTTGATATGACCGACACATGATGAAAATTGTGGCGGCAAACGAACAGACGGATTAACTTATGGTAAGCAATCGGTGTAGCCCATGGAGACCTGCATCTTTAGAGGACTTACGAGTGCGTTGCCGTCCTTTTTGGGATTAGGATAGCAAGGATTTTGTAGGATTGGGGTGTATGTGTAGTGGCAGGGTTTTTCCTGCCCCCATCACATTAGACATTCGGTAACCGCACTCTTACCGCGAGATATAAAGTTATGGTTGTTTCACGCCGGTTCTCTTTGAGGCTGGGTATCACTCCGGTCGACTGACCCACACTCTTAAGAGTTTGGTGTAATATGAATCTTATTTTGTACTTATTTTGCTCCAAAATAATTATATTGCTAATATATATTTTTGTTGCCTAGGTGACGTGGCGAATAGAACATTTGAATGTAAAATGGGAAGGTCTCCGGTTGCTACTTAGTCCTGAGCAGCAGCATCGTGAGGGAGACAGTTCTGACACAGTTGGTTAGTAACCCTATTGTCCTCAAATATTTAATAAACAAACATTGTTAGAAAGGAGTCTTTATTCAAAATTCATTTGTAAGTTGAAAACAACGCCATCTGTGAGTAAGTTGTGATACTCCTATGATAAATATTATCACTCAGAATATATAGTCTAGATGGCGCTGCTCTTCTAGTTCTTTAATAAAACATAGATGTCGCTTAACATTGTAACAATATTTTAATGCAAATGCCTGCTAAGAATGAAAAAGGGTTGAGATTAATGGTAATTCACATTTTTCCATAATTGTTAGCATACATTAACGTATATTATATTTGTAAAACCTCATTTTATGTAATCTCAAATTTTAGATAGAGTCATGAAAGCAAAAGTTTAAACCTTAGTGGTTTTTGGTTGCTATTTTAGGCGATAATCCTGTATTTACTGTTAATATGATAAATAAATATAAAAAAAACATAATTTATTTATTTATTTTAGATTAGAGAATAATAATTCTAATTTGCGCATTTAGTAACATTTCTAAAACAAACTAATATTATAAAGACCGATAGTAACATTTCTAAAACAAAGTATAATAGCTACATTGCTATTCAGAGAATTAAATAACGAATTTAAAATGCCATTGGATACATGGATTATGTAGTGATTTTATATTATTTCCGTCTTTACCAGACACAGCTCACGAGTTAAAATGTCTTCGACGTTGGCTGCACTGCATGGAAGGTCGACTGCCTCCACCATCGCTAGCAGCAGCGAGAGGAGCTTCGTACCACGAGCTGCTGAGGAAACTCAGTGAACATAAGGTAAGAATAAATCAATGCTTTTTAATTTGTTATAATATTTTTACTCTGTGCCCAGACACAAGAAGGTGATGACTTAAATGTTATCCAAATATCGTATAACTATTTTGTAGCTCTCGTGTGGAAGTTAAAGTCTGCAAGATAAGTAAGAATGAAGAATGATTTGCCCAACCATGTATTTTCTTAAACTATAATTTTTTTTATTGAATTTATACTATTTTGTGTATGTAACCTACATTCCTATCTATTTGGATAAGTGTATTGTAAAAACAAGAATTTAATTGAATATCAACAGTTACGATACAATAGTAGCAGAGGTTGTTTAAAAAACTACAACCGGCCGCTAACACGTTATTTTTTTTTAGTAACAGTAAATAAAAGAATAGTTAGGATGCTTGCATGCTTCGGCACGAATGGATCGGGTCAACCGGATTGATACAACGACCTAACTGACAAAGGGTGTGAAACAACCACAGCTTGTATTTCGCCGTGTCACTAAGGTTACCCGGAGGCCCAATCCAATTTTCTATTCCCCAAAAGGTCGGCAACTCACTCGTAACTCCTTCGTTCCGTTGTTGCTTTGCTTACCATCAGGTAATCCGTGAGCTCGTTCGCCGAACTATCAATTAAAAGAAATGTTATTTAATATTAATAGTGAAGTGGAATCTAAGCAGGCTAAGTTCTATTGAAAGTATTACAAAGAAAACAACGCTTGATTAATTAAAAAAAATCAATATACATGGTAGGTATAATAATAAATGGCCATGAATTATATGAAGCATATAAAACTGTTCGACGAGCTGATGGAAGTGCAATAATCTACTCGGACTCGGAGCAGCAAAAGTAATGGGGCGATTTTTTACAAATATCAAATGCGATAGTACCCTGCATAAGACTTGGGCCCTTAATCGATATATTTAACAGATTTCCTAGATGTATTTTCAAATTATGATGACTTCCTAGCGCTCAAGAACAATGGTATAACGAGGCTCGAAGCAAGAGTTAGAAAGGGTTAGTTTTTTTTGGTAAGGCTCTGGCATTCTCACAACACCCAAGGCAGAAGAAGCCATTTGATGAATTTCACCACTCAAAAGTGATTTTTACTTATACAGCGGGAAGCGATTGTTTTATGATATTAGTGATGATAGTGAAAGTAGGTCCCAACCTTAGTTTGTTGCTTTGATGTGATGTGTGTGCCTTTTTACACTTTGTCCATTTAACTAACCTTTTTAAAATTGTGTTATGTAATAGACTGGCAAACGAGCAGACGGATTACCTGGTGGTAAGCAATCAGCGCCGCCCATGAACACCCGTAACAGAGGAGTTACGTGCGTGCGTTCCCGACCTTTGGGATTATGGAATTTGGAGATTCAGGGATTGGGGAGGGATTGGGGGAGAGGAAGGATTAGGCCTCCTTTAACCTCACTCACACGGCGAAACTGTTTCAAGGTTTCCTGTGAGGCCGAGGTATCACTCCGGTCGAACCGACCCATTCGTGCCGAAGCTTTACATTGGTTTGGAGCACGAAGCTGAATATCGTTAACTAATGTTGTTGATTGAAGTGAAATTTACGCGGAAATTAATTTATTTAAGAACTTTTATCGAAACAATACCACCATTTATAACTCAACATTGCGTAATAGAACATCTCAATACAGTATCGCGAACGATTTATTCCCGTTGTTACGGATCCATTGCGGTGTATCGACGGCGTCTTCGTGACAACCCGAACACGCTCTAATGACGATAATAAATCAGCCAGCGATGGAGAGATGGCCCTAATTAAGTTCGACGGTTCGTGAGCGAGAGTTCTTTGTGGTCGTGTGCCCTATGGATTTATGGTGTTTGAAGATAGTAAAGCCATGTGTGTAGGCGTTCGTTACATTGTAAATTTAAATTTAGTGGTTTTAATCAGGTGTAGTTGTGTTTATTTTAATGGTGTCTTCGTATCTTTCTAATTTAGAATTTTCAAAATTCAAATACGTTATTTTAAATTTGACAATGGAACACTATTATGTATTGTTATAAAAAAAACATAACCACAGACGTAAAGAAGAAATCATAGACGGGAAGATTTCACAAATCAAACCTTCTTTTACTTGTCATTCCTTCACCATAGATATCTAGAATTTGACATAACAGCCATGTCACTCAAGATACCTTCACCCTTCGGAAGTAAGCATGGAAATTGACAAATTGTATGATCATTAGCTGATAGGAAGCTAAGGTAAGGTTTAACTAAGGCAACTCGTGCGCAGGTCATCAGATCATCGCAGATCATGTATCTGTGGCAGTACAAATTAGCGTTTATCTGATGTTTGAGTATACATACCCACGATGCTAGTGAAATCGCTTGATGCGAAAGAATTTACTGGAGCTACCTACTGGAAGGACACGAAAAATATGCTGGAGTATTTTTTTACAAATATGACACGTATCCTAATTGCCTTTTCTCGTGTCTGTCCTTTTCTGAAATGTCTTCTATCAAAAAGAAAATAATATTTCTAAATAACTTTGTATCGTTTCATATTATACTTAAATTTTAAATACCTACAACTGGATTACTGGATCATATTGTCTGAAAAGGACATAGATTTTAAACTTCCTTGTACGGATCTTTAACAAATAAATCTTCTATCAAAGCCTCGGAAATACTCCACTAATGTCCAGAAGTGAAAGAAAATTGATAAATCTATACAAACGATAGTAAAATCACAAGTTACGCTAAACGAGAGCGCCGTAAGCAAAGGTCATCAGATCATCTGCGATCACGTATCTATGGCCGTACAAATTGCCCTTATCTGATTACCATAGAGTTACGTTCTAGTCTAGAGAGGCCGAATAGCGGTTTCCTTTTGCTACGCTTCTTTTGTTTTTTGTCGAAAATGATTTTGATTCTAAATATGAATACCTATGGGAATTAAGTTTGAGTGTAGTGTATTAATCCTTATTATATATAATGGGATGCTGATTGGTAGCAGTCACACAGACTGGTAGACTGATTGACAGTCAGCAGACCCTTCCATAGGAATCTACACTTTAGAATGAGCTAATAGCTTCACTAGAGGACTGACTCACAGACTGACACACATTAAGTTGAACTCCTTTGTTTTGTTTGACGTTCAAAAGTTGTTGTTGTGTATTGGAAATAAATGATTTGACTTACACTTTGACTTTATGAATTAAATTAGATAAATTCAATAGTTTTATGTCTGCTGTCAAAGGTTTAATAGTACCCCTTTATACCTTTTTGGTAAAAAACCTTAAACAGTATCTTTTTTTAATTGTAAGCACGTATAACGCCTTATTACATCATACATTTGAAACATTTGTAAATAGAACACAAAATTACTGGCCAATCATAACTGTTGATATGTCGCGTTGTAAAGTGCAATAAGGACCATAGACTTAAGTGTAACTAGTATTATATTTATTGTGTACCACAAACAATGTTTCCCTTTAATTAAAACGGCTGTTTTACGATTATTAGATAGCTTACATTGTGAAACTATGTAGCGCCATTAGCCATTAATATTTAGTTGTTGCCTACCACATTTATAGTGTTTGTGAATAGCTAATTTTAATAGACTAACTAGTGTATTGAGGCGCTTTTGTAGGACTAGCGAGGCAATATGTAGATTTACAACGAATCTGTATTAATAAAATAGCTTTCGCGCGCGAGTGATACTTAAAAAAAAGCAGCCTATATGTTAATACAGGGTATCCTGTATCAACATATAGGCAGCTTTTTTCTACATACCAAACAATCAAATCGGTCCAGCCATTTTTGCGTGAAAGAATTACAAAAATATACATCCATATTCCATACATTCTCAATATTAGTAGGAAGTAGGATAATATGTAATTCTTAAGGGCTGATTTTTCAATGGTTAGAGAAAAGTTATCCGAGGAATAATTATGATGCTGTCGCGTCAGAATGTTTGTATAAGTCAGTGACAGCCACAATTTCATTCCTCAGATAACATTTATCTGACTATAGAAAAATCAGAAGATGACCCTAAGTCTTGTTGGGAACTAGATGTTTTGTCTCACAATTACATTGCAATACTACTTACTATTATTGTACTATTACTTCTATTGCTAATTGCTTTTTTGTTTTTACGTGTCTGTCCATAACAATTAGATATTAATACCCACTCATCATCCTCATTATCATCATCATATCAGCCACAGGACGTCCACTGCTGAACATAGGCCTCCCCCATTGACTTCCAGATAGGCCGGTTGGAAGCGACCTGCATCCAGCGGCTTCCTGCGACCTTAATCAGGTCGTCTGTCCACCTTGCGGGTGGACGTCCACTCATATTAAACTAATATTATAAAAACAGTAGGGAAGTGTTAACACTTTTCTTAAATTCAAACAAATGCTTTGTGACATGAATCAACACATTTTTTAATACCCATTTGTCATGACGTCAAGATGATTATTTTTTATTTTAATTTATTCAGTAATCATTCATGCTTATAACTTAAAACGTACACAATCAAATTCAAAATCTCATAAAATATTTGTTTTCCAATAACATTTATAATAAAAATATATATTATAAATGTCAATAAACAACCATTACTTTGTCATAGAGAATTTTCATATTTATAATCTGTGCATAATAAGCTGTGTTTAGTCTGTGGTGGGTTCGCGTTCCGTTTGTCTATTGACTAATGCTTGGTTTCGCGGCAACTTTCGAAGCCGGGTCGCTGTCACAATTAACCCTTGCTAGTCAATTTGTGACATGACCATCTATTATTTGGAGCCATCGATCTCAGCTAATAGTTGCCTGGCTCCGATTGTGAGCTATCGGTTTTGTAAGGAAACTAGGAAAGCAGTACTTCGGAGATAAGGTAAAATGGTGTATGATTCGCAAGTCTGCGAAAAGTTCATGCTACTATGCTATTTCTTAAATTGCTGGAAATAACAATGAATTCACATAAAAATTAATTGCGGGTTCTCTTTTTATGAGATATTACCGCAAACGAGTTGCCGGTTTTTTGGGATTGAGGTTTCGGAGATTTAGGCATTGAGTGATTGATTAGGCCTCCAGTAACCTCACTGAAACGAAACACAACGCTGTGGTTGTTTCACGCCGGTTTTCGTATGGCCGTGGTATAGCCATTGGTGCCCAAGAATCACTCTCTGGCTTTCCTACACTTAAAAAAACTTCTGTTTTTAATTATTTTGCTCTATTATTGAGGTGAAATATAAAATAATGGATAATTGTGCTGCAAAAAGGATCCAGTGAAAATGCACCGTCCAAAGAGTAACGTTTTTTCCTTTTTAAAAGTCTCTGTGATTACTTTTTTCAAGTCATAAATCTAAAAATGTATTTAACACCACACTATAACGATCCATATTTAATAATCTTCACCCAGATTTTTTTATGAATGAAACGTGAATTCTTTCATCAAAGAAACAAAAATAAATCTGTGTAATAATGACATAAAAGGCCAATGTTTTGGTAAAAGTTTATTTACTGACCGCCATATTTCGTCCGTCATGAGGTTGTACACGGATTTATTATTCTTGGAATAAAGAATTTGTTCCATAATTTGCTTAAGGTAGTAACAATATTTTATTGACATTAAAGACTTACATACAGAATGAACTGAAATCGTTAATTAACAGAAAAAGCTTTATCAGTTTTTTATAGGATAAGTCGGCCGACGACCAGACGGATTGGTACCTGATGGTAAGCATTCGGCGTCGCCAATGGATAACCGCAACACCAAAGGGGTTACGAGTGCGTTGTCGGCATTTTGGGGATAAGGGTTTCGGATATTTATGGATAGGGAAGAGATGCGGGGAGTGAAGAGATTGGGCATCGGGTAACCTAACTCACACGGCGAAACACAACGCTGTGGTCACTCCAGTCGAGGCGACCCATTATTGCCGGAGCTTGGCTCTTCAACGCTTAATATTCAAGTTACAATAGAAGTCTTTTTAATAAAAATACACAAATTATACTAAGATTTAATTTTCGAAAGGTCATTTACCTATCTAGTTCATTAGTGAAGAATTTACATTGAGGAGATCAGCACTGAGTCTGGGAAACAGAAATTCTCTTGTCATATGGGAGAAGAATTAGCATTGTTTCCCCACCTTGCTTGTGTAGGATCGGCAGATTGGTCTAAATCACAATGACCTTCTAGCCATGACCAACTAACAAAAACAAACACTTGAAGAAGAGATCAGTGGAGACTGGTCTCTGTGTCTCAAACCATTACAACTTTGCCCTTTTTAAAGCAATTTGACTTGCTTCGAAGAAACCAGTGGTTAAAAATTTCACCCGCCAGCTGTACAGTGATTATGAAGTTCAATTAGTATTGACAATGTAATTGGGTATTGCGATGAAATAAATCAAAATTTCCATACTTACATATTTCAACTGATTTTTTTTTATTCAACATTCATTATAGTTTGAAAAGTAAAGAGAAAATGTTGATTCAGACTAGTTTGATAAATTATGTATTACTTGTTTCGGTACAGTTTCCTAAACAAAATAATTATTATAGGAATGTGTTAAAGTTTATTCTAATAAGTGATCCTTGTCAACCTGTTCATTCTGCTCCTTAGGGGACCTAACAATCCTTATTACCATTTAATACGACTTAGACAGATAAAATGCGTAGGTATGATTACAGTAAAATTATCTACGTAAGATATTCACTGCTATACTTAAGTGCGAACTAAAATTCTACAGATTACAACGTAGTGCAAAGGAAATTACGAACGGTGAAATGCGTAAATTATTTCCCTTTGTTAACGAGCGAAGGTACAAGTGAA